ATCTGGACCTCTGGACCCAACTCTGGACCTGAATCCAGACCTCTGGACCTGAATCCCGACCTCTGGATCCATATCTGGACCTATATCTGGACCTCTGGACCTGAATCCCGACCTCTGGATCCATATCTGAACCTCTGGATCTGTATCCGGACCTCTGGACCTGAATCCAGACTTCTGGACCCAACTCTGGACCTCTGGACCTGAATCTAGACCTCTGGACCTCTGGTCTACACAAACTGTAGTTCCCGTTGGCAGCAGCGTCTTACCTTCAGGATGGTGATGTTCCAGGTGAAGCTCTCCAGAGCTTTGTGCAGCTTCCTGCCCTTCAGCCCGTCCTTCACAGCCAAGTCGTGCAGGTTCTCATGAAACTCCATGGCTGTGGAGACGAGACAGACGAGGTCAGGCCGGACTTGAAACAGTCTCAGAACATTTTGGGGGCGGTCAGTCTCTGCTGCTAAAATGTAATTTTGTGTTTGGCTGTGGCGGCCATCTTGACCGGAGCCGACTCCAAATCTCAACGATTAGTTTCTGCAAGTTTTATTGAAATTTGACCTGTGGTTCATGAGATATTTTGCTAACAGACAAGCAAAGAAACACTGGTGGGAACATTGTTGTCTCTCTTTTCTTTCGCTCTCATGGAGCGGGTCACAGCTGGGATGAGGATCAGAACCTCCAAATGTGAGATCCTGGTCCTCAGTTGGAATAGGGTGGGCTGTCCTCCGGGCTGGAGGTGAGGTTCTGCCTCGAGTGGAGGAGGTCAAGAATCTCAGGGTTTTGTTCCAGAGTGAGGGAATGGAGTGTGAGATTGATGTCCACTGTAATGTGTACTTTGAGCCGGTCCATTGTAGTGAAGAGGGAGCTGAGCTGCAAGGAGAAGCTCTGTTCCTACCCTCGGGTATGATCGTGATCTCTGGTAGGGACTGAAACAACAGGATCACAGATCCAGAAGGTCTGAAAGAGTTTCCTCTGCAGGGTTCTGAGGTTCTCCTTTAGAGACCGGAGTTATCAGGAGAGACCGAGTAGAACCGCTGCTCCTCCACATCCAGAAGAACCAGGTGAGGTGGTTCAAGCCCTGGACGCCTCCACAGGGAGGTTTTCCAGGCACGTCTGACCGGGAGGAGACCCCGGGACAAACTGCAGCGACGGTGTCTCCTGACTGTGGAGAGAGATGTCTGGACCTCTCTGCTGAACCCGAGACCTGACCAGAACAAGATGGATGGTTCTGTAAATGTAAATCCGTTTTCTTGTGAGGTAAAGCACCGGTCTGCTGTTCTTCCTCTTGCTGTGAAGCAGGAAACGAACGTGCGCGCTCCGTCATCATCATTAATCTGAGTGTGAGTGAAACGTCCTGCACCGGCCCAAACGCACAGACAAGAACCAGAAGGATGAGACGAGAAAATATGTAGATCAGCTTCAAACAGGAAGGACTCATCGCCTGAGGAGCTCCCCCCCCCCCCCCCCACACACACACACACACGACTGAGCATGACGGTGTGCAGACGTGTTTCATGTCGGGTCAGAACCTGAACCACAGACGGGCTGCAGCTCAGGCCGATCGCTCGACTCGAACACAGTTCTGCAGGAAACCCTCTGAGAACAGACGTTTCCACCAGAGCAGGTCGAGGAGCCTGTCGACGCTGTTGCCATGGAAACAAGCGTCCTGATGCGAGGTGGGGAGAGAGACGTGTGAAATCACCTCGCAGCTTTGGGGATTTGATTGTTTTGGTGTCGTTCAGCAGGTTTCCACTGCAGGCGTCACAGGATTTTTTCTGTCTTTGAAGTCGCCTCCGGTAAATCCTGAAACGGTTATTTCAGCTCGTTTCCTGTTGAAGCCGGTGTGTTCTGTGTTTAAGCATAGCCTTTAATAATTTAATAGACCCACTCGGTTTTACCCAAAACGTCTGCACATCTACTCATTCTTATCATCGCACTCTTGATTTAGTTCTGATCTATGGTGTAGAGATTAAGGACTTGGTAATAGTTCCTCAAAATCCTTTTCTGTCCGACCAGTTTTTAATAACTTTGAGTTTACATTAAATGACTACACAGTCACTGAGAGTAAATTTCATCTCAGCAGGTGCTTATCAGAAAATGCTGTAACCAAATTTAAACAATCTCTTCCATCAATGTTTTCCTCTGTCTTGCAGAGTAATGCATCAGAGAACAGAGACTTAGATCATCTAGTTGATCATCTTACAACTTCAATGCAATTGATCCACTGAAAAAGAAAGTAATCAATCAGAGGAAACTGGCTCCTTGGTTCAATTCTGAGTTACGTACTTTAAAGCAGCATCTAGAAACCAGGAGAGAAAATGGCGCTCTACTAATGTTGAAGAATTTTATTTAACTTGGAAAGATAGTCTGCTAACATATAAAAAAGCTCTCCGTAAAGCTAGAACTTTATATTACTCGGAGAATAAAAATAACCCTAGGTTTCTGTTTAGTACTATTGCTAGACTAATTAAAAGTCCCATTTCTGTTGAACCATGTGTCCCTACAACTATAAGTAGTGATGACTTCATGAGATTCTTTATGAATAAAATTATTTCAATTAGAGAGAAAATTCAAACCATCCTTCCTTCTACTATCTCTAGTCCCCTGTCAAATGAAGCAACTTTAAACATTTCACAAGAGCCTGATTTATGTTTGGACAGTTTTTGTCCAGTTGAGCTCTGAATTGTCAAAAATAATAACCTCATCCAAACCATCCACATGCCTGCTAGATCCCATCCCAACCAGACTGTTTAAAGAGGTATTTCCACTAATTAATGTCCACATTTTGGATCTACTTAATTTGTCTTTAATGGATGGTTATGTACCACAGAGCTTCAAGGTTGCTGTAATAAAACCTTTACTTAAAAAGTCTGATCTTGATTCAGAAATTCTGGCCAACTATAGACCTATATCTAATCTAACTTTCATCTAAAAAATCTAGAGAAAATAGTTGCAGGTCAGTTGCGTGAACATCTACAAAGAAATAATCAGTTTGAAGAGTTTCAGTCAGGGTTTAGAGCTCATCATAGCACAGAAACAGCACTAGTAAAAGTCACTAATGATATTCTCATGGCCTCAGACAATGGACTTGTGTCTCTACTGGTCCTGTTAGACCTCAGTGCTGCATTTGATAAAGTTGATCACAATATTTTACTACAGAGTCTTGAATATGATGTTGGGATTACAGGAACAGCTCTAAAATGGTTTAAATCATATCTATCTGATAGATTCCAGTTTGTAAATGTAAATAATAAATCTTCATACACCAAAGTTAGTCATGGAGTTCCTCAGGGCTCAGTGTTTGAGCCAATACTCTTTATACTTTATATATGCTTCCATTAGGTAAAGTTATTAAACAGCATGGGATAAACTTTCATTGTTATGCTGATGACACACAATTATATTTGTCTATTAAACCCAATGAATCCAATCAGCTACTTAGACTACAAGCATGTCTTAAAGACATAAAAACCTGGATGACCCTTAATTTTCTCCTGTTGAACACAGACAAGACTGAGGTTTTGGTTTTTGGACCTGAGCACCTTAGGAATTAATTTTTCAGTCTTTCTCCCTCCTTGGATGGCATTAATCTGTCCTCCAGCTCTAATGTTAAAAATCTTGGTGTTATTTTTGATCAGGACATGTCTTTTATCCCCCACATTAAAAACGTTACTAGAACCTCCTTCTTCCACCTGCG